TTTTTTGAGACAGTCTCACACTATGTAGTTGAGACTGATCTGGAACTCCCTATGTAGCCCAGGCTGGTCTCGAACTCAGTGATCCTCCTGCCTCAGCCTCCCGAGTGCTGGGATTACAGGCGTGCGCCCCCATGCCCGGCTTGCCAGCCACTTTCTTTGGAGGCCTTGGCTAGAAGGGGACCTGCATGGTGCTGTAGATGAGATTGAGCTGGAGGAAAATTCCTTCCAGGAGGGTGTAGGCAGTGTCTGGGCCTAGGAGGGAGGCCAAACACTTGGAGAGGCTGGGCCTTTCACCCACCCTGTCCTCTCTCACCCACTTTGTCCACTTGTGACACTTCTGGCTCGGGTCTCAGGAGGGTCATCTTAACAGCCAGCAGTGTGGGGTAGCACTGAAGAGCCTCCTCCAGCACCGTAGTGAATCCCAAGGTAGACTTAGGACTGGAAGCCAGGTCCCCAACAGGCAGCTGTGGCTTCCAGGAGGGTTGCAGTGGTCCTCACAGCTGGACTTCTTTCCTTGCAGGAGAATATCATGAAATCCAACATCGACAAGAAGTTTTCTGCACATTATGATGCTGTGGAGGCGGAGCTCAAGTCCAGCACCGTGGGTGAGCAGGGCATACGTGTCACCCTCTCCTGGGCACAGGGCTGCCCCATCGCTGGCTCTGGGTGATCAGTCCTTCCTTGCAGGCCTTGTGACACTGAATGACATGAAGGCCAAGCAGGAGGCGCTGGTGAAGGAACGGGAGAAGCAGCTGGCTAAGAAAGAACAGTCAAAGGAGCTGCAGCTGTGGGTCCCCTCTTACCCCACCTTCTGTCCTGTGCCTGCCCCTCATATGCAGCTCACATTTGTGGGCTCTGGGGGTGACTCAGGCTACTCTTGTTCCAGGGGAACTCCATTTTCTGCTTTGGGAACAGGGGTAGCATCTAGTTTGGGCCTCGAATGGTCCTCTCGAGTTTCTGGTTTGTCTTTCTACTTCCTGTCCCTGTAAAGGCAAGTTCTTTCTTGTGGTGCCCAATAGCCTGTATTCTCTCCATCCTCTCTGTGGCACGACCCTGTGTCTCTCTCTGCCTACTGTGTCGTAATCAGGGCCCTGACCATGACCTCGTGGTGACCTGGGGCAGTTGGACCCCTCCAGCCTGCACTGGTGCCCCCCCTTGCTGAGCATGTAGCATCTCTGGGTCCAGATGTGGGGCATAATGGCCACCCGTGCCTTGGTAGGAAGCTGGAGAAGCTGCGAGAGAAGGAGCGCAAGAAGGAGGCCAAGCGGAAGATCTCGAGCCTGTCCTTCACCTTAGAGGAGGAAGAGGAGGGAGGAGAAGAGGAGGAGGAGCTTGCCATGGATGAGGAAGAGCTGGACAGAGAAGGTGAGTGCAAGGCCCTGGAGCCCTTGAGAGGTAGAGAAGAATTCAAGGGGCCAGAGCTAGGCAGGACTAGGGGTACCCACACAGGGGCCACCATCAAGGCTGGTGGCAAAGGCTCAGGCCGGGTCCTCACTGCCCACGGTGGGGGATACTTGGCATTGAATCGCTGACTTGGTTTGATCCACACCATCAGTCACATAGCCACAGAACTCAGTGGCCACCACCGGCCTCAGCCACCAAGGACAATTTGGGCAGGCTGGGGAGCGAGGCCAGAGCAGCCGGGCACCCCCACGCACCGTACACCTGTCCTGTGCTGGGCAGGGCTGTGCAGGGCCCTGTCCCTTTCCTGGGAGAGGCCCGACCCAAGGTCAGAGAAAGTGTCACATGGCGGGGCACATGGTGGCAGGCCTGGATTGCTTGATCTTTATTTTTCTCAGTTTTTTATTGTTTTTTTATTGTCTGGTACCGGAGATCGAACTCAGGACCTTCTGCTTGAGAGGCAGGTGCAGTGCCACTGAGCTGCATCCCCGTCTCTGTTTTTTATTTTTCACTAGTACATGTTCTTAGTCCATCAGGATTGTATTTCTCATGGAGAGCTGGTACATGTACAGAACACATCTTCATTCTTTTTTTCACCCCTTTTTCTCCCTCCCTCCATCTCTTGGTTTCCTTCCCCTTTAAGAAAGATCTATTATTTTCCTGCTTACTATTACCTACTTTTAACGTATTTTGTTCTTTATATTTTAAGTATTTCATGTAAGAAAAAGAAACCATTTGATATTTAAGCTTGTGTGTCTGATTTATTTCACTTGACATTATGGTCTCGAGTACATTCGTCTTCCTACAAATGACCCAAGTTTATCTTTCTTTGTGGCAGAGTAGTACTCCACTGCGTATAAGGTCTGGCATGTCTTAGAAATTTTCTTTTGTTTTTGCTTTTTGAGACGGGCTTGCTATGTAGTTCAGGTGGCCTCAGATTCATAGTAATCCTCCTGCCTCAGCCTCTCAAGTGCTGGGATGACAGGAATGCACCACCACACCCGGGCCTATTTAGTTGTTCTTACATTTGTTTTGGTACTGGGGCTTAAGCCAGACCTTTCACATTTGTGTTTTAGAAGCTGTAATGTCCTGGCAGGAGACCCTTGAGGGCCATTGCATGGGTGGTCACCATCTGGGTACAATGGCTTTCAGGGGAATGGCGGGGCTGTCCACGGTTTGAGCATGAACAAGTGAACTTCCCATGATGCATTGCGCCTAACCTGACACCTGAAATGTGACCCTGCAGCTTCAGGAGCTCCAGCTGTATGCTGGGTCCATGGCCCCTGGGGTGGGGGGAGCACTGCTTGGTGGGGTCCCCTCTCTCTGGAGGTTTCATTTCAGGGGGCCCAGCAGCAGAACCCAGGTATCTGCTTTGCTTATGTTTTTCCTTAAGGTCAGTGGTTCTCAAAGCAGGCTTGAGGGACATTGGGGGTTTGAAAGACCCTTATGGGGTCTAACAGATTAAAACCCTTTTCAGAATAATGTTTAGGTTGCTTTTTTTTTTCCTTTTGGTACCAGGGATCGAACCTGGGACCTTGCACTTGCGAGGCAGGCAGCAGAACCACTGAGCTAAATCCCCGGCCCTAGGTTGCTTTTTTGGGGGGAGGGATTTTTCTGTATTGTTTGTTTGTTTGACACAGGGTCTTGTTGTATAACCCAGGACGGCCTTGAACTCACTATGTGGCCAAGGCTGGTTTGGGTGATTCTCCAACCTCAGCCTACTGAGTGCTGGGATGACAGGTGTGCAACACCACACCCAGCTGCTAAACTGTTTGCTGTTTTGTTTTGTTTTGTTTGGCACCAGGGATTGAACTCAGGACCTTGTGCTTATGAGGCAGGCACGGTGCCACTGAGCCAAATCCCCAGGCCTGTTCTTTGTTTTTATCATAGAGATCACTGCGAAGAAAAGGAAGTTAGGGAAGAACCCTGATGTGGACACGAGCTTCTTGCCTGACCGAGACCGGGAGGTAAGGGCTGCTGCCCCTGCCTTTGATGCTGGTGCCAGGTGACAGCCCTGTGCCTCACTGCTGGGCCCCGTCCTCCACAGGAGGAGGAAAACCGGCTGCGGGAGGAGCTGCGGCAGGAGTGGGAAGCCAAGCAGGAGAAGATCAAGAGTGAGTGCAGGGGTGCTGGGGGTTGATATGCCCTCTGGAGGCTGGGGTGGGGGCTCCCGGTGCCAGTGACAGGTGGCTGAGCAGCCATTATGCTCCGCAGGTGAGGAGATCGAGATCACCTTCAGCTACTGGGATGGCTCCGGGCACCGGCGGACAGTCAAGGTAGGTGCCACAGGGCTCCCAGTACCTGGGTCTGGCCACTCCCTGAGTGTTGCTCAGGCTGTTGCTTCCTTTCCAACCTTCTGCAGATGAAAAAGGGCAACACCATGCAGCAGTTCCTGCAGAAGGCGCTCGAGATCCTGCGCAAGGACTTCAGCGAGCTCAGGTGAGGCTGCTGCCCCTTCCTCCTGCAACAGAGCTGAGGTGGGCACCTGCCTGGGCACCCTTGTCCAGAGGCCGTGTGTCCCCTGCTTGCTAAGCTGCCCTCCCCTCCCTGGTCTGTCCACCCGTCTGCCCACTGAGCCATCCATTCCCCAGTCCCCCACCTCCTGTCTTCTTCTCCCAGGTCAGCAGGGGTGGAGCAGCTCATGTACATCAAGGAGGACTTAATCATCCCCCATGTGAGACCCCTTGGCTGTGGGTCACCCAGTGGGTGCTGCTGGCACCCGGCCCGTGGGTGGGAGCATGGGGTGCAGCAGTTGACGGGCTGGGATGGGGGTTGAGCTGGTCTCCCCTCCTTGGTCTCTAGCATCACAGTTTCTATGATTTCATCGTCACCAAAGCACGTGGAAAGAGCGGTGAGTGCCTGCAGCCCAGCAGGTTGAGTTGGGGTGGCCGAGTGACCTCGGGATAGGACCTTGAGATGGGACCTTGGGACAGCTCCTTCTCCCTGCAGGGCCACTCTTTAACTTTGATGTTCACGATGACGTGCGGCTGCTGAGCGATGCTACAGTAGAGAAGGATGAGGTGCGTTCCCCCCCGCCCCGTGGTGCTCACGTGCACTGTCCCCAGCTCCGGCTGAGCCTAGCTGTCCCTTCCCCAGTCACATGCTGGCAAGGTGGTGCTGCGCAGCTGGTATGAGAAGAACAAGCACATATTCCCAGCCAGCAGATGGGAGCCCTACGACCCGGAGAAGAAGTGGGATAAGTACACGGTGAGCACCGAGGGATGTGGCAGGGACCAGAGGGGCACATGGCTGGCGAGGTGAAGCCTGGGACACCAGCCAGTCTGCTCATCTCCCGCCTCCCAACCCTTGTCCCCATACCAGATCCGGTAAGCCGAGGAGGTGGTATGGCCTCTGTGTGTCCACAAGTCCTGGTCTCTGGCACTGTCCTTACTGCTTTCTTCTTCAACCATAAAGAAACGCACGCATCAGTGCTGGAGGCCCCGCAGCATGAGAAAATGTGTTTCATAAAATCAGTTTTTATTGAAATCAAGCTCACCTGCTGTGGATTCCTTCATTTCAGCTATTCAAACTGTGCAGTGTTCGTCCATTCACCCGTGTCCACTTTAGACCAGGCCCATGTAGTAGTCATGCGCCATATGCCCCTTGTCACCCCCAGTCACACACATCCTGTCCCTGTGGATTGGCCAGCATACAACCTGTCAGGTATTCAAGGGAACAGGGTGTCTGCACAGCAAGCCCCCACATAGTCCCCAAGGCCACCCCAACCACCCTGAGGGGGCCAGGTGGTGCCATGGGCCTTACTGTGGGCACTTGTGCCTAGGCTAGGCTCTTTCAAGCTGCCCCTTCCTAAGGGCCCTGGTCACTGTCCTAGCTCCCACCCCACCCTCCCATGTCCCCTTAGCCAAGGCAGGCAAGCAGGGGACAGTCCCTAGCCACCAGTGGACAGCTCCTCACCTTCCCAGCTGGTGTGCAGAGCTGATGGTGGTAGGATTGGGCTCTGCTCTGCTCATGGGCCATGTCCCTTGTGTTCTCTTCAGCTGGGGCTAGGGCCACCTCAGGGGTCTTGAAGGAAAGAGGAGGCTGGGGAGGCCAGGGCACAGCAGGGAGGGGTGGCCAGCCTGATCCTGGCTTCTGGAAGTGAATAAGAAGTCTGAGGGGCCGGGCGTGGTGGCGCATGCCTGTAGTCCCAGCACTCAGGAGGCTGAGGCAGGAGGATCGGATCACTGAGTTCGAGACCAGCCTGGGCTACACAGTGAGTTCCAGGTCAGTCTCAACTACATAGTGAGACCCTGTCTCAAAAAACTAAAACAAAACAAAACAACCCCCCCCACCAAAAAAAAAAAGAAGTCTGAAGGTCCCAGTGGCCCTGTGCTTGGGCTTCCAGAAACCCTTCAAGCCCCGCCAGCACTAGGGATTTAACCCAGGGCCTTCACTCTAAGCTACATCCCAGTCCTTTTTGAAATTTTTATTAGTACATATTTGCAGTACCCACATTTTAACAATCCTCTTTGGGAGATGATACATGTATGTAAATCTCAGCCCTTTTTTAATTTTAATTTTGAGACAGCCTTGCTAAGTCACTGAGTCACCCAAGCTGGGCTGGAACTTGCCATCTGCCTACCTCAGCCTCCCAGCACTGGGATTGCTGGTGTGTGCTGCCACACCTGGGTTCCAAGCTCTCTTCTGAGCTCCTTTTTCATATGGATCCTCAAGATCTAAGGCTCCAAGGGAGGGACCACCAGCTGGCCTGCACTAGATGGGGAGGCAGCTCCAGCCCTGTAGCTTGTTGGGGCTGCCATGGGTTTTGGCAGAGCAGGATTAGTTTCTGCAAATAGCTCTAAGCTCCAAGAGGGGGGCCAGGGAAGCCCTTGGGGGCCAAGACCAAGGGCACATGGCTGTCAGGGAAGGAGAGCCAGCAAAGGGGCAGAAAAGGCCCTACCGTAGCAAGAGGCCTGATAGGGAGTCCCTTGTCTGGAAGCCAAACTGGACACAAGGTGCAGGGCCCCAAGTCCTGCAGAGGAGGGAGTCCTCTTTATGGTTCACATGGTGCTGCAGAGAAGTGAGGTCACCTTTAAGGCACATGCCACTCGATGCCCTGGGACTGGATGTGGTCAACAAGGACCAATGTGCGCGCTTGCTGGGGACCATGCATAGTGGGTATAGTACCATGAGGAGGCCATCTAGGCATAGGGACATTTGAACTGACATCCCCAAATTTGAGGGAATACCAAGGGCAAAAACGAGCCTGGCATGGTGGTGTATACCTGTAATCCCAGCACTCGGGAGGCTGAGACAGGAGGATCGCCGCAGGTCTGAGGCCAGCCTGGGCTACATAGTGAGTTTAAGGCCAGCTTGAATTATACAGTGAGACCCTGCCTCAAACTGTCCCTCAGGTAAATCAAATACACTGTCGGATGGTGGGAGCAGTAGCTGGAGAGAAGGAGGGGGTGGCAAGACCGGAGCGTTGGACCTGGTAGACAGTATTCTCTCCTTGGCCTGGAGGTGTCTGGCAGAGGCTGTGCTCTCCCTGGCTCACCCTGCAGGGTGAAGGGCAGCAGCAGGTGCCCGTTCCCAGCACATCTCAGCAGCACTCGGCTTCTCGCCTTTCTCTATGAATGTAGCCCATTTGCACTCTGCCTTATACCTGGCCACTAAGTGCCATTGCTGATCTGCCAGCCACACCACACATAGGGTTCGCTCCTGGCTCGCTCAGCTCCAAGAGCGCCCCCAGGGGGCGTCCCTAGCCCCAGGAGAGAGAGATGCTGAGCTGAGATGAGAGACACATTTTTGCAATGCATTTTATTTTTAATTTTAGTGTATATTTTAAAATTTTTCAACCAAGAAAAAATTTACATGCTATAAAATTAGTCCTGAAGCATTTGCACCGCACAGTTCTGTGGGATTTCAGCCACCCTTGTCTGCACTGCGGGCACCCAAGACCCCTACCAGCCCCTTGGCTATGGGCTCTACTGCCCTGGAGTAAACAGAATCACACAAGGTGTGGCCCTTGTGTGTAGCTCATTCCACTTGCCATGGTTTTGTTGTACCAGGAATCAAACTCAGGGCTTCCCGCTTGCCAGGCAAACACTGTGCCCCCTGAGCCACATCCCCAGCCTACTCTCCACATTTTTGAAGTTAGTCCATGCTGTAGTCAGGACCAGAATCTCCTCTCCTCCCCTTCCCTCCCTTTCCCTCCCCTCTTCTGTTTTTGGTGCTGGGCATTGAAGCTAAGTCTTAGCACTGAGCTGCATCCCAGCCTTTTTTTTTTTTTTTTTTTTTTTTTTAATTTTGAAACAGGGTCTTACTAAGTCGATAAATTGTCCAAGCTTAGCTCGAACTTGTGATCTTGACTCAGCCTCCCAAAGTGCTGGGACATGGTCCTGTATATAGAAAATCCTAAGGTACCTCTTGTAAGATAAACTCAGCAAGGTTGCGGGATAAGAGATCAATGGAAAAAATCCAAAATCAAACTGAAGTGATTCTATTTACAGGGGTGCCAAAAAGAGTAAAATACTTAGGAATCAAGGCTGGGCATGGTGGCGCATCTCTGTCATCCCAGCACTTGCCTGTCTGAAGCAGGAAGATAGGGTCTCACTATGTAGTTCATGCTGGTTTTGAACTCACTTATAAAGCCCAGGCTGGCCTTGAACTTGTGGCAATCATCCTGTCTCAGCCTCCCAAGTGCTAGGATGAGAGGGGTCCCCCTTTACTTTCTGCTCCCTGCCGCCCAGCTGCCCAGCTGCCCTGCCTGGGAGTGACCAGCTATATACTGAAACTCTACAAACCCTAAACCAAAGTAAGCCTCTCCTCCCTTAAGCTGTGGGTGTTGGATATTGTGTCCCAGAGACCAGAAAGTGACTAAGATGGTTATCATGAGTTCATGGAACTGGATTCCTGATAAAAGGGTCAATCAATCACCCCCCACCCTTGTCTCTCTCCATGTTTCTGTGTGATGCTTCCTGGTCCTCCCTCAGCCTCCAGAGTCACGAGCCACACTTGCTTATTCTGTTTATAAATGACCCAGGTTCCAACAGTCTATTGTGTTAGGGCATCAGAAAACAGACCAGGACAATGATTTAAATAAATAGAGTTACCTGCTCGGTTCTCCAGAGAAACCTGAGTGACAGGACATGCACGTGTGCACACACACATTTATTTTAAGGGCTTGGTTCACACAATTGTTGGATCTGGTGATTTCAGTCCTGAGGCAGAATCTCTCCTTTGCTGAGAAACCTCACTTTTTGTTCTCAACCCAGTGGATGAGGCCACATGCGTTTTCAAGAATGATCTCTTTCACTTGAAGTCCTCTGATTGTAGCTGTTGGCCAGAGTCACAAAATGCCTTCCTGGCTATGCCATGAGGAGTGTTTGATGAAATATCCAGGGGCTCTAGTTGGGACAAGGTGACAGGTGACAACATCCTGTGATCAGAGCTGGAAGAAATTGTTAAAGTGGCAACTTCCTATGAATTGCTCTACAGGCTCACTTCATTCTCTAGCAAGTCCCAGCTGGCTTCTCTGCACAGTCAGGTTTACATGAAAGTTTGTATGGAAATGCAAGGGCCTTGACTATCCAAAACACTCTTGAGAAAGATCTATCTTGGGAGCTGGGCAGGTGTGTGATCTCAGCTACTCTGGGAGGATTGAAAATTCAGGGCCTGGCTGGATATGCTGGCACATGTCTGTAGTTCCAGCACTAGGGAGGCTGAGGCGGGAGGATTGCCATGAGTTCAAGGCCAACCTGAACTATATAGCAAAACCCTGTCTAAAAACAAAAAACAAAAAGTTCAGGGCCAGTATGGGCAAATTAGGGATGCACAAAAAATTAAATAAAATACATGGCTTGTTTGTACCTCAGTGACAGAGCATTTGCCTAGCCTGCAGGAAGCCCTGGGTTCAATCTCCAGTACTCAAAACAACAGAGTGAGAGGGCGGGGATTTAGCTCAGTAGTGTGGCCGTCTGCCTCAAAATCAAAAGGTCCTGAGTTCAATCCCTGGTACCGCCAAAAAAAAAAAAAAACAAAAAAATTAGAGCAAGAGATCTCAAATTTAGATGACTCATAATTCCCAGTTTCATTTAAAATTTACTGAAGGGCTGTGGATGTAGCTCAGTGGTGCCACACCTGCCTGCAAGTGTAAGGTCCCAAGTTTGATCCCTGGTACCAGGAAAAAAAAAAAAAACCTAAAAGAAGGGGCTGTGGATTTAGCTCAGTGGCACCATGCCTGCCTTGCAGGTTGGAAGGTCCTGAGTTTGATCCCAGGTACCCCCCCAATTTTTTTTTTAACTGAAAGCTGGAAGTGGAGGTGCACACCTGTATCCCAGCACTCCAGGAGGGTGGGGCAGGAGGGTCATAAGTTTGAATTCAGCTTGGGCAATTTAGGGACTTAACCTCACCTCAAAATGAAAAACAAAAAAAAAATTTTTTTAAAGGGCGGGGATGTAGCTCACTGCAAATGTCCTGATTCAATCCCCACTATCACAAACCAAACCAAACCAAACAAACAAACAAACAAAAAAACCCCAAAAAAGCAGTGGGGTCATCTTGTGACTGGGCAAGTCCTTTTCTCCGTGTGTACCCAGACAAACACAAATGTGTTCATATTAACGTCCATAGATGTCTCAGCAGTTTCTGCACTACAGCCTGAACATGGAAACAATGGATGTATGGTGAAATGAAATGTGCTATATCCATGCAAAGGAATATTATTTGGCCCTAAAAATAAAAGAAGTCTTGATCAATGACGGAATACAGATGAACCCTGAAATCATTAAATAAACAAACCCAGGCACAAAAGACTGCCGAAATGTGTGACTGCATTTGCGTTGATTTGATATGCTCAAAGAGGCAACTCCACAGTCAGGAGGTACAGAAGCAGTTGCCAACCCTGGTGCAGGGCTCGTTTTGGGGATGCCCAGACATTCTGGAATTAGACAGTGATGACAGTTGCACAACTCAGTGAATATACTGAAAGCCAATGAATTGTCTACGTTAACCCGTGACTTACATGACAGGTGAATTAGATCGCACTAAAGCTGCTTGAAAAGAAAGCAAGGGGATAAAAGACGACACAGGGTTCTGGGGACTGGCAGAGGAAGAAGCCAGGTGTAAATGGCCTCGAATCCTTGAGCCAGACGCTTGCACGCTACGGACCATCAGGGGAGTCCCGGTGGGACGGTGGGCTCCACTCCGTGTGCACCTGCCCAGCCCGGACCAGCAAGCCGGGTGC